CCTTCCTTCCTTCCTTCCTTCCTTCCTTCCTTCCTATTCTGGCTTCAAACTCGAAATCTTCCTACCTCAGCCTCCCTAATAGCTGGGATTACAGGCTTCATTTAGTGTAGTTTCATCGTATTTTCATGTCTAGATGCACATTTTCAATGTCTATTTTTTGAGCATATGGATTAATTTTAACTTTAAAAATATTTTTCAGTAGATGGACATAATACCTTTATTTTATTTATTTTTATATGGTGCTGAGGATTGAACCCAGTGCCTCACACATGCCAGGCAAGTCTTCTACAACTGAGCCACAACTCAGCCATAATTTTAACTTTTAATGTCCTTGTCTAGTTTTGGACTGGGTTTGATTGATTGGTTATTCTTATTATGGATTGTTTTCTTTCTTCTGTGCATGCCTGGTCCCTCTCAAATATTTGACAGAATTCTGATCTCCATTCATGTATACAGAAACTACCTGAGTCTAGGGAAAGATTATTTTTAAAAATATTAGGGAACAGTGTTTAACATTCATTCACATAGAGCTGGGAACAATGTCTGTTTCTACCAACCAGACTGAAAATTCATAATTTATGAAGTTTTAAGATCTCAAGAACTCAGGAAGTTCTTGCCTCAGGTAGTTATCAGTAATTAGCCTCAGACTCAACATTGCTCCAGATACATATAAGAAATAATAAAATCAGGACATGGAAGGATCCAGTTGTTTCCAAGTAACTTAACTGCATCCCAGTATGAAACTTAAGATTTATAGGAGTACAAAAATACCCAGAACCCAACAAGGTAAAATTCCCTGTATCTCTATTTTTGGTATGCCTTTCTTTAAATTATGAGTAAAGTTGAACATCTTATATGTGTTTAAAAGCCATTTGTATTTCTTTTTTTGTTGTTGTTAATTATTCTTCCTGTCCTTGCCCATTTCTTTTTTGGGTTATTGGTTTTATTAGGTATCTGGCTAATACAGTTGAAGAAGATGAGGAAGAATCCAAGTATGAAATTTTTCCGTGGGCTCTAGGGAAAAACTGGAGAAAACTGTTCCCTAATTTCTTAAAGTTAAGGGACCAACTCTGGGATAGAATTGATTATAGGGCTATTGTAAGCAGACGATGCTGTGAGGAGGTAAGGACTTTAAAATGCTTACATATGTAACATTTGTCTTCTGTTTATTTAATTTTCCTTTTTAATATGGTTTTAATGTTTCTTTTTTGTTTTGTATATGTAAGCATATATAATAAACCTGGCCATTACTATGTCTACCATTTCTGAATTATCTTATTGGTATTTGAATTTGTGTCATAATAATTAAAAATTGTCATTTCTGTTTTTCAGAGCAGGCTACTCCTATAGTACTTTTATTTTAATGTGCTTCTTGTTCCTAGAAGATCACCAATATATTAGGAAAGAGTGGTGTGAGCCTACCAAAATAAATGCTTATTAAGGATTGTAATAACTCTGGAATAGAATCAACAATTTATGCTAAATATGTGATATTTCAAGTTCCCAAGATTGAAGTATATAATTTAAATATTTTTTAAACCCATCTCTCTATTCACATAGAATACGTTGTTTCCTTGATGTTAGATTTCAAGGTGAACAAAAAGGACACTAAAAATTTTAAAGTCAATTATTTGATCAAATGTTTTGGTTTTTAATAAAGAAAGCTAATGTTTCAAGCTAAAGGAAAATTTGAGAGAAAACTAAATGGAGAACAGTGATCACTGTAAGCTCTTGTACTAGTTTAGAAATTTTGATAAATGTAAGGTAGATTAATTTATCACTAAGTTAATCCTACACAGTTAAATGATTATGGGCCAAAAGGAACCAATTAAAGGACTAGTAGCAAACCTAAGTGAAGACTTCAGTGGTATATCACAGAATTCTGCCTAGAACCAATCTTTTAATTATATTTATTAATGAATGAAGATAAAACAGACATGCATATTTATAGGATAAATTAAGAGGATTGTTGACTCTTGGGAAAAGATTCAGAAATAACTTAAAAGAATACACAGTAAGTCAAGCTTTTACAAGATTAAATTCAGTAGATGAAAAGTTGGATGTATGAGGTCCCTTCAAATTAATGGATCCTCATTAAGGAATTTAAATTGGACTCATTCCAATTACAGAGCATTGGAAGAGTCCTGTATTTTCACTTTGTCATTCCCTCCCCAATTTAAGAGTGGATAATTTGCATATCTGTTGACATCCTTATGGACTGTATTTGAACACACTAATTTTTTCAAAGTAAATGCTTCAGAACCTGTGAGACACCCAGCTAAAAGAATAGAAGGGGGCTAGCTCAGTTGGTAGAGTGCTTGCCTCAAATGCCCAAGGCCATGGGTTCAATCCCCAGCAACACCAAAAGAGAGAGAGAGAGAGAGAGAGAGAGAGAGAGAGCGCGCGCATGCGCTCTTGTTAGTAGTAACAAGACTCCAGGAGGACTGGCAATACTTTATCTGATGACTGGCCACCCTCTACTTTCTAGACATTTTCACACCAGCAGGGTTAATATACTCTATTAGAACTGGAAACATCTTATCTGCTGTACCAGACTGTAAAAGAGCCAAAGAGAATGCTGTGGCTTAATGGTATGGACTTTATAATGAAGCTCTGAAAATTACCCATGAGTTTCCTCAGTTTTTTCCTTTAGGGGTTGCACAATATGATTGATCTTAATGAATTTTCTTGTGATTGCAAGTGGCTATGGTAAAGACTATTAAAGGAGGCCTCACTTGTTTGATGGAGAGGCTCATATGATTTCTAATATTTAATTTGCTCCATTTAAATTTTCATTTACTCAACTTTAGACATTCTAATCTGCATTTTTGTTGGAACTGCTATATTGACTGTTCTCACCCAAGTCCTTTTATAAACTATTGCCACTCCAGTATATGGTCAGATAAGATCAGAGTCAGAGCAGTTTACACAACTGCTATTTTACTAATTAAAATTTTTAAATAAAAAATAATGTGAATATAAAAGATTAAAATATTGTAGACAGCTGAAAATTTAGTTTTGGAATGGGACTTCCAGGAAGTTTAGACTTAAGCTGCAGAAAAGAGGTAATCATCAGATTATAGCTAAAGTATTGCATTTGGTTCTGCATACCACACTTGAAGAATATTGAAGAACAAATATATATAGAGAGGAGAGCAACTAGAATAGAGCAGGGTGCTGGGGATGTGGCTCAGCCGGTAGTGCGCTCGCCTGGCATGAGTGCGGCCCGGGTTCGATCCTCAGCACCACATACAGACAAAGATGTTGTGTCTGCCAAATACTAAAAAATAAATATTAAAATTCTCTCTCTCTCTCCCTCTCTCTCACTCTTTAAAAAAAATAGAATAGAGCAGGGTCTTAAAAGAAAAATGTCAGGTAGAATAACAAAAAGTAGAGATTTTTAGTATGAAGAAGAGAAGATTTCGAAAGCTTACTAGCTGCTTTCAGATATTTAAAGTACCATAGCAGGACAGAAAATATATGTGAATTTTCTTTTTGGAATGTAAGCAGAGGATTAAGATCTGTAGATGGAAAACTAAAATTCAATAATAATCATTCAGTTGTTCTAACAGTTATGTGAAAATGAGATAGACTGTTCGAGAGGCAGTGATTTCTGTCACTGATGACTTTTTAAAAACAAGCAGTTGATTGTTATAGAGAAGATTCATCCTTTAGGTAAGCAATTAAACTAAAGTTTTTCCTAACTTTAAATTTTGAGAGTTTAAAGGTATATAAATTTTTATTGCTTGAGCTTTTCCTGGGCAAGCTAGCTTGTTCCTTAATGTTTGATAGAACTCATTCATTCATTAAGTACATACTGATTTATTGATTATGTAGTAAGTCTACCAGATCCTTTGTATTACTTTTAACTTAAAAATGCTTAAAGCAAAAATAGCAATAACATCCATTCATTCTAGGTCGTAGAAATATGGATGTATAATTGTTATTGTATCCCTTATGCTTTTTTCATATGTCAACATTTAAAACTGTTTTTAAACTGATAAAGAAAAACACAAAAATTGTACATATTAATGGGATACCATGTGATGTTTCATTACATGATTTCATTGTATAATCAGGTTAGACATATCTATCTCTTCACAAACATTTATCACTTTTAAAAAATATTTATTTTTTAGTTGTAGTTGGATGCAATACATTTATTTTATTTATTTATATGTGGTGCTGAGGATAGAACCCAGGGCCTC